AGACGGTCTGCGTGCGTGTGTGCCTGTCTCCTCCTTTCTGTCATTCCCCCTCCGTGTCGGAGCTCTCCGTCTTCTCTAACGAACTCTCTGCCTTGCTTCTCCCCGCCCCCCCGGGCTTCTGCTTTGTGGATGTTCGCGGCTTCTTGTTGTGACAGGAGAATGTGTGTGTGCCCGGGGCCCAGGCGGATCGGTATGTATCGCGCACCGGTACGCGCTGGAGCGCCGGGCTCGGGGGTCGGCTGGGACCCGGGGAAGGGACTGCCGGGCTGGGCTTGAGAGCTGGCCGGAGGGAAGGATTAACGGTTCCGTTTAAGTTGAACGTTTCCTGTTCCTCTTTCCCCTCTCCCCATCCTCTCCAACGGGCTAATTAATTCAGGTTGTCAAGTGTCTGAAAGGCACCTGAGGTAAGTGGTTTTATCTGAAGCCATGGGTGTCTTTGACACAGTTAAGGCAGGTGTTTTGGAGGAACCTGTCTGTGCAGCATCAGTTGGCCTTAATAGTACAGTTACAACAAGCCTTTATTAAAGGAAGGGGTAATATCTTTTTTCCATTTTATCAGCGTAGTACTACAAAACCCATAAAATAGCCAACAGTGAGTCAGATGGCCAAATTATATTTGTGGCCTGAAAAGTAGTATTTGTACCCTGTTCTGGGCTTGGAGATGTATATAATATTGACCTGATTCTAATCTCTTGACGAATCTTGATTAAGTAGAAATTTTACAATCCTATCTCTTTTCCTTCTTTGCTATCTCTTGATCAGTCATAATGAACTTGGGATCTTAAAGTAGTTATTTAAGGGCTAGTTGGAGCGTCTGGTTATATTTGGGGCACCCACAGGGATAAATGGGAGAAACTTAAGATAATTTCACTTCGGGCTGGCAAACTTGGAATTTCTCCTTTACTAAATCACTAGATTTAATAAATCCTAGTTATGTGAAACAGACTGATATCTTAAGTTGTCATGCATCTACTGTAAATGATACAGTCCATGGAAAACTTGAGGCCAAATTCTTACTACTTCCTCTTTGGTTTCATGTAGTATTTGGTAAACTAATGATTACAAATGAGCAAAATAGCCTCTGGTGGCACTGCAGAGCTACTATAACAGCAGTACATTTGTATTTTTGCTTCATCATGGATCAACGGCAAAACTGTCAGACCAGTTGTTGTGGTATCACGTATGGGTTAGCACTGAACACAAATGCTTAAGCAGTTAGGAGAACTTCATTCACTTGTATGCTAACGGGAGACCAGCACTGAGTCTGAGGTGCTGCTGTAGACCAGGCACACCTGTAGGACCTTGAGGTTCCCATTCTGTAAGTAAAATTGTTGCTTTTAAATGTCATGTGAAGAAGTATACATAACTGTTACCAAAATAGCTTCCTTAAAATCTATTCACTACCTTCTAATTATGAAATCTATATTTGGAGTTGCAGTTTACTTCTGTCATGCTGTATGCATGTGAAGCCTGGGCTGGAGAAATAGACTTTCTGGGAAGCAAATGGCTAGCAGAAACTTAGTATGCATCTGGAAGTTCAAGCCAATACACTGCTGCTGAGTGTCTGGGCAGCTGGCTGTGGTCCACAAGACTACAACCAGAGCTGTTCACTGATGGGTGAACAGCAGGAAACTGGCCTGTTCAGTTTTCATAGCTGTCAGTGGGAGACCTGAGATAAGTCAATGGACAGGAATTTTTGTAAGTCAAGACTGACAGTCAGTCATACTAGGAAGCCAGTGGAGTGGCAGAAACGTGAATTTTAGTTTGCTTTCAGCACTCACATATCATATAACACAGAAATGGGCTTTGTTCCTGGTTGCTTAAAGAGAACAAGCAAGCTTGGAGGGAATAATGTGTCTTGCTGCCTTCTCTTTCCACACAGAGAATGGGGTGAAGCTTCATGTATTTCCAGACACTTCTCAGCTGGTCTGGGTGATCAGAGTCCTGTGGCAGAAGCTGTGGAAAGCTTACAGAATAGAGTGATAACAGAATGCAATTCACCCTATGTTGCATGGTCCTTTAGATTCTGTATTGAGGTTTACTGTGTATTTTATAGGCCTTGTATCTCCTTTGAAATGCTGATATGCCTGCTTGTCTAAAAGAAAATAATAAATTTAGTGACTGAAGCACCTTGCACAACACAGTAGTATCCAATTTTTCAGTAGAACAATTCTGAGATAGTGGTACAGCTAGACTAGTACTGATGACTGCAGTAAGCCTTGTATAAGATAATTTGTAATGATCTTTTTTTATGAAGAAGCTCTTATGATGAAACTTGGATCATAACAGTTGGAAAGAGAAAGCTGAATTCCCCTTAACTGTCTACTTCACACAAGGCACAGTTCAGCCTTTTTTCCGCTATGGAATTGTTTTCTCCAGTACGACATTGTAAAAGACTTCCTGATAATGAGGCATAGTGAAAAAGGGATTTAAGAGGCACTCACACTAATGTTGTGATTGGGTGTGTAGATGGGGACAAGGAAGAGTATGTTAGAATAGTCTGTCTTCAGAGGGATGAAAAATTAAGGAAAGCTTTTAGATGTGGCAAGTAGTGGAATACTTTTCTTGGATACTAAACTTAATTTATCTTAACACTGAACTGCCTTTAGACTACTGCAAGGCTCTAGTCTAGTCACGGAAACAAACACAGCTTGCATGTAGTCCTTCAGTTGAGTAGCTTTTTAAAGGAATTTATAATCCTAAAATTTACTGGGGTAGATGAGCTGCTGGTAGGAGACATGCATGTGCTTTCTACCTCTTGTCTATATCTGATAAGCTAGAAAATTGCTGCATAGACTGCTGTGGCTATTTTGTTTATGTACACCATGGTGTCACACAAGTTTGAAGTTTTACATGTGAAAAGGGGGAGAAGAAACAAAACCCACAACTGACTTGTGGTTGCTTAAAGATTATCTGCTGTCTATGACCTACTGCTTTTATTATCTAAACCATTGTCATCTTAAGCCCAGTTGTGCGTCATCTCAAAGTTGTTTCATGAGTCTTACTGTTAGATGCTTTATCTCTTCAACCTTACAGAAGGACACAGTTTTCCCTATGTGCCATATCTGTAGATATGTAGAAGGTGGCAATACTGTAGAGTGCTCCGTGCTAACTGTTGTCTTTTCTGTTTGAAATTGTATTGTCTGTTTTCACTTCCTGCCTGCTGAGTGGGTATAAGAGCTAAACTATCTGTGCTGAGCTTAAGTATGGTACGGCTTTTTTGTTATAGCCCAATATCTTTTAACAAGCACCTCTTAATGCTTTTTTCTCAAGACCTGTGAAGTCATGAACTCCATATAATAAGTAACTTTGTTAGATGCTGTAAATGTCTTAACACAGAGTTCTGGGAAACACCTGTTAACTGTCCCCCTAAGCATAGTTGTTCTCTTGTCTTTCAGCAATTCCAGTCCGAAGCTCCAGGCTACCTTTGTTGTCTGATGCCATGCCAGCACCAGCTCATCTGTTTCCATTGATCCGTAACTGTGAGATCAGCAGAATATGCAGTACTGTCTGCTACTGCCACCATAAACATCTGTGTTGTTTATCATCTCATTTTGCTCATAGTCACTTCAGGTATGCACCTCAGAAGAAATTTGCGGCACTTTATAGGCCACAGGAGAACTTTTATCACTTTATTCATGCAAGGGATTATGCTTCTACGCCACAGAGATTTTACCTCACTCCTCCACAGGTCAATAGCATTCTGAAAGCAAATGAATACAGTTTCAAAGTGCCAGAATTTGATGGTAAAAATGTAAGTTCTGTTCTTGGATTTGATAGCAACCAGTTGCCTGCTAATGCTCCGATAGAAGACCGGAGGAGCGCTGCCACTTGCTTACAGACAAGAGGGATGCTTCTGGGTGTGTTTGATGGCCATGCAGGCTGTGCTTGTGCTCAAGCTGTCAGTGAAAGACTGTTTTACTACATTGCTGTCTCTTTGTTACCCCATGAGACTTTACTTGAAATAGAAAATGCTGTGGAAAGTGGCAGGGCTCTGTTGCCCATTTTACAGTGGCACAAGCATCCCAATGATTATTTTAGCAAAGAAGCTTCCAAGCTTTACTTCAATAGTCTAAGAACTTACTGGCAGGAGCTGATTGATCTCAACAGTGGAGAGACTACTGATGTGAAAGAAGCTTTAATTAATGCTTTTAAAAGGCTTGATAATGATATTTCTTTGGAAGCTCAAGTAGGAGATCCAAATTCTTTTCTCAACTACCTAGTACTGAGAGTAGCATTTTCTGGTGCAACTGCCTGCGTGGCCCACGTGGATGGTGTTGACTTGCACATTGCAAACACAGGTGACAGTAGAGCAATGCTTGGGGTTCAGGAGGAAGATGGATCTTGGTCTGCAGTTAATCTGTCCTATGACCACAATGCACAAAATGAACATGAAGTGGAACGTGTGAAAATGGAGCATCCAAAGTCTGAAGAGAAAAGTCTTGTGAAACAAGATCGTCTCTTAGGTCTCCTGATGCCTTTCAGAGCTTTTGGTGATGTGAAGTTTAAATGGAGTATCGAACTACAGAAGAGAGTAGTAGAATCGGGCCCAGATCAGCTGAATGACAATGAATATACAAAGTTTATTCCTCCAAACTATCACACTCCCCCATACCTCACAGCTGAGCCGGAAGTCATACATCACAAATTACGGCCGCAGGATAAGTTCCTGGTTTTAGCCACAGATGGGCTGTGGGAGACGATGCACAGGCAAGATGTGGCTAGAATTGTAGGGGAGTACCTCACTGGTGTTCACCATCAACAGCCCATAGCTGTTGGTGGCTATAAGGTAACTTTGGGACAGATGCATGGTCTCCTAACAGAAAGGAGAGCAAGAATCTCTTCAGTATTTGAAGATCAGAATGCAGCAACTCACCTGATACGCCATGCAGTGGGTAACAATGAGTTTGGCACTGTGGATCATGAGCGACTGTCCAAGATGCTCAGTCTTCCTGAAGAGCTGGCTCGAATGTATAGAGATGACATTACAATTATCGTGGTGCAGTTCAACTCACATGTTATAGGTGCATGTCAAAATGAGGAACTCTGAATTTCATCTAGTGAACTAGTTCTCAAAGTTGTAACAATGGCCAGTATGAGCAGCAAATAAAAAACAACCACCCAACAATAAAACCCCAAAAAACGCCTCAGCAAACAATTTGGTTGCTTGCTAGATTCAGCATATCTATTGTTCCTGCCTTCCCCACAGAGCTCTAAATACATGGGAAGTGCTATTGACCTAATGCAAACTTGAAGAGGATGTCACAGCTTGGGAAAAGAGGTTTTTGAAATAACTTTGCACTATTAATTTCATGAATGCTGCTAGGACAATGTCTTAAATTTGGCAGACTTGGATGAGGGAGGGAAGAAGGATAAAGAATTAACTATCAAAGATCTGGCTGTTCAAGAAACAAAGCCTGTGTATAAATATCTGTAAATGTCTACACATTATCTTAAAAGACGAGTAAAAAGAGTATTGTTGAATTCTTACAGGGCTAATTTTTGCGAAGTAGATATGATTATTTGTGAATATATTGTCTACTGTTTCTTCTAAGCAGAAGGTCACTTTAACCAAGTAAGTCTTCAGTGTAACAAAGTTGTCTCACTTTCATATAGACAATGTCATTCATGTAAGGATATTTGTCTAAGTGTTGACTTTCAATGCAGGTCTAAGCCATAATCAATACCTGAGATTCTGTTACAGCTTAATCGTATCTTACGCATGGTAACCTCTAAACTTCTTGTGCATTAATATTTCTTGGCTGTGGGTTTCTGCACAACTTGTAGGGCAATAATACATTACAACATGCAGTAAGATACCAGGTAACTTTGTGGAGGGCTTCCGTTTGTGGTATGAAGAATCTTTCAGACTTTTCAAAAAGTCAGTGGTGTTGGTCAAGACTGTTGGCTTTCCTAAAGGTCATGTCCTTTAATGGGCTCCACCCCTGTCTGGTGTTACTTATCTGGTAAATAAATTTTCACCTGAAAAGATCAGGAAATCATTGCTAACCTCTTTGTGGCTTTGTAATTTGCACTCATTTTCATGTTGGCCATTTCAAATGGTCACATATTGGATGTCTTGCACTTGTATTTGTAAGTCGGGTTAAAAACTGCAAATTACAAAAAAGGAAGTATGGCTTGTAAATAGCATTTTAGTTGGGAAACTAACTGGCATGCATGTATATGTTTAATGGCTTTTTCTAACAACTTCTTTATTAGCTGCTCTGTGTTTCTGGACAGCTGGTGTATGCATGTTACAGTCCAGAATGCTGTCACAGAGCACTCTCTGAAACGGGTCTCTCTGCCTTGTAATGATTGAGTTTGAACTTAAAAGATTGGCTGTAACTTGTGTGCCTAAAGTTGCTGGGCTTGTAACTGTAAAAAGGAGGTACTGACAACTAACTTACCAATCATCATTGCATCTATTTTAGGTATGTTGCATGGTATACAGATTTATTTTAACCTGCCCTTAGGTTAAAAACCTCAAATGCTGGTTGAAATAGCAGCCCTTGATGACTGAGAGACCACATGTAACTTGAGTCCTGTGTTCTAGAGAACAATGATAGGTCAGCTTATTTCACTTTACCGAGGTGTTTCAGTTAAAATACCTCCCTAGCCTTCAACATACTACTTAAATCAACACTTTAAAAACCTAGCTTATTTTGGTTAGTTGAGTAATGTGACATTTTCTACTAAATACAAATGTTGGCAATTAATGCTACTGTTACATAGGGTACACTAGTTTGAACAATGAACCTATGCTATAGTAACCATTGGCTCCTCAAGAGTCACAGATGCTATGTGTACTTAATGTCCTGCAGCTTTAATATGTCTGGTTCTTTACCCAACTTTAAATATCAGGATTAATGTTGCTGTGAGGTTAATGATCTCTAAGTTCACATTCAAGATGTGCACAACCCTTCTTTATCTGAAGGGAAAAGGGGAACTCTCAAAAATGCTTAGACAAGTACTGGCTGTTGACATTGCTTCTGTATGTTGTGTTCTGGTGTCTGTGTCGTTAGCTAGGTCAGTGGACTTTATGTTCTATCATTCAAATGCAGTATGTATCTAAGCTGTTGCAGTATTTAACTTTCTTACTTTTTTACTGTTAAAGCTCTGTTACATGTATTGATGTATTTAACCTATGATTATTGATATGGATTTGGTACAAGTTACAGCTAGAAGAAATGAACATTGGTCCCATGGATACAGCTTTTATTGAGGAAAAGCTGCTTTTTGTAGTAAAGATGCATATGTATGGAGTCAGACAAAATAGTATTTATGTATTGCTTGGAGACTTGCTCAGTTATGTATGCAGTGAACAGAAGCAGCATAACTGCCTGGTGAACAGGTGATATGAACAAACAACTTTTAACAGATTCCAATAAAATGATCAATTATGCAGAAATTTATGTGTATTGGATTGATACAGAATGTGATAGCTGTTCTGATAGGGCTGAAGCTTATCAATTACTTGTATTTCAAGAATGTGTTCTGTTATGTGGTCCCTGTTATGAATAGACCAGGTATATAAATGAAATATAAATGAAAACAGACTGAGAATTGGACATCGGAGCTCTTGAATGCCACTGTGAGGCTTGAACCCCTGCATTGGGCATGCTGCTGCTGCAGCCCCTGGGCGGCAAAGCTCCAGTCTTCCCCTCAAGAGTTGCTCTGTGTGTCTCTGTTCCCATCATCTTGTCATTACTTTCAGGGGCAGCGCTGCAGATAAAGCAGTGTCATTTGACATCGTTAAGTTGTGGACTCTCCCCTATATAGAGCAATACAACATTTCATAAATGATCTAAAATACTTACATGCAGATTAAAATGCTGTAAGAATGAATTGATGGTAAACTAAATGGAAACAGCTCTTCTGCCACAGGCAGAGGATGTGTCCTGTTTGTGTTGTCTACCAAACTTGTATTGCAGAAAGTACAGCTACTTTGTGTAAGGGGGATGCTGTGATTACTTTTCCAAATAAGATCTCACAGCTGCAAATATATGGCTCATCCCAGAAGGGTGGCTGGATCTTGACAGTTAACAGGAGCCTTCCAAGTTTGCCCTTAAATCTTTAAAGCTGTTCCAGATGAATGCGTCAACAGAACTGTTTAACAGTAATACTAGGTAAGGGAGGAGTGGGAGATCTTCTCTTAGTCTATGCTTCCAACTTAAGGCTATGTTAACTCTGTTCCCTTGTGTTCAAAATGGACTGTTGTGATAATTTCTGTATTCTCCATTTACCTTCTATGTGCATGACTTGGTGAATACAGAACTTGGTAAACTCTTTTCCCTTTCCACTCATTGCAGGGTGGAGTTTTGCATATAGCAGACTTGTAAAACATGACACATACAGCCAGGAGCACAGACTCATCATGAAATGTTGTTTGTAATTAGACTCTTAAACTTGGGTCCCTGTATTTAGAACAATTCTGGAGTGAGAGAGTGCCTGGTAATGATTTCTAAGTGCTCTGCAAAATGCATAGGCTGCTCTGTTCTTCCTCAGTGCGGAGGCATATTTGTAATGAGATTACCTGGTGTTGCGACGGAGGGAAGACATGGACACTCAATACGAGTGATCAGCAAGCTTCGTTTATTCAATGATACAGTTGTCTTTTATAATCATTATAATTAGCTCATACATATTGCAAAAGCTAAGCTCATCATTGGTTTGGCGTTAGTAGTCGATTTCCGGATTATTAACAATAGTTCCTTCTCTGCAGTCAGCTATACCCTGTTGTTTTATAACATGTGCAGCCAAGGATGTTAAGTCCTTACCAGCAACTGTCGTGGTTTAGCCCCAGCCGGCAACTAAGCACCACACAGCCGCTCGCTCACTCCCCCTCCCGCAGTGGGACGGGGAAGAGAACCGGGAAAAAACTCGTGGGTTGAGATAAACACGGTTTAATAGGACAGAAAGAAAGAAGGAAACAACGATGATAATACCAACAAAGGAATGCACAAGAACAAGTGATGCCCAACACAGCAACCACTTGCCACCCCGTGATCGACAGCCTGTCCCCGAGCAGCGATTTCCACCCCCCGGCCAACTCCAGTTTATGTACTGGGCATGACGTTATATGGTATGGAATATCCCTTTGGCCAGTCTGGGTCAGCTGTCCCGGCTGTGTCCCCTCCCAGCTCCCCGTGCACCCCCAGCCTGCTCGCTGGCAGGCCAGCACAAGAAGCTGGACTGTCCTTGACTGCTCAGCAACAACCCAAAACATCAGCACATTATCAACAGTTTCTCATCCCAAATCCAAAACACAGTCTCGCACTAGCTTCTGTGAAGAAAACCAGCTCTATCCTGGCTGAAACCAGGACAGTATCTAAAGTAGCGGTGTACGGTGTTTCCCAAGCTCCTGCTTGGCCAGCTGGCTCATGTCTACGTGACCTCTCTCAGCGAGCCAGTTCTCCACATACCTGGCATAGAGGGATAATTTGGGTTTCTAGCTCTAACCATCTGTGGTGTCCTAAGCTCCCTGATCCAGGCAGCCCATCTTGTTTCATGACGCTAATAAATAGATGCTGTCTGATTTGCACCAGTGACCACTGTGAGCGTAGACTGCTGGACGCCATCAGTGTTGCTGCAGAGCAGTCCCAAGAACACTGGAGGCACAAGGCATTTTGGCATGCAAAGGGAGTTGGCATCTTTTAGTTGATACGTTTCATCCTATGTAAGAAACTTGCACAGCTCCCTGTTGTTGTTCAGTAATGTATAAATAGAAAGCAAAGTCTGTGGTGTTGGAAGATCTGTCCAAAATGCCCCGTCTTTATTTCATGAAGCTAAGAATGAAGCAGACCCTATGGGTAGGAGAAGTAGCTTTCTTCCAGCCTGCCAAATGGCACACTGCAGCTTAATGCCGGTATCTTGCTATATGTACGATGAAGTTAGGCAGTTTGGCCGCCTTCTAAGTTAAACCTGTCTCCAGAGATAACTATCTATATCCTGCTGAGAGGTGCTTCAAGTGTGGTAGCATTCCCCAAGCGCTGTTTTGGCTGATGCTTTTTTCTGCCCTGTATATTTTTCTGGCTTTCATATAGAAGTTAGAGGTGCTTAATTGTTGTGTATTTGGTTCTGCATTAAAACAAATGTGCTTAAAATGAAGAGGGCATTAGAATTAATGCGTTTATGGTTTCTCATGCTAGGTTAACTCTTTAGTACTTTTTCCCCTATTTTTATTTGAAAGCCCTCCTTTGCCAAGTGCCTTTAGTTTCAGGATCTTCCCCCGTCTTATTTTGCTTTTTATTCAACAGTCAATGCAGGATATATTAATGTTTTTCCTAGCACTGAAGTACTTGTGCAGGAAAAAGGCTTGCTAATGTGTTCTGGATTAAATTGTTTATTCCACAGCCTCGGCATATTTCATTGCTGTGCAAACAAGTAGATACTGTCCCTTTGTCAGGAGCATGTTGTCAAATACAATCTATGCAGATCCATTGGTAGAATATTTTTAAGTTCAGTGTTAACCTGATTTACAAAATCAGGTAAAAATAACTCCTGATTAGGGAGTTATTTCTTGTAATTTAATCCTGTAAAATATGTTAATTAGCCTGTAGTTTAAAGCTAAACATAGAAATGTTCTATCATCAAATACCTGTGCAGTGGAGGAAATGCATAGGTTCACTTCTCCTATTGCAACCAGCTAGGTAT